ATAATAAAATAAAATAATTTTGAAGGAACCAGATCCCATCTCATGAATCTTGAATATACAATGCCTACCTACCACTGGCCTGGTACACAGCACACACTCAGTGAATGTTTGTTAATTAACAATTTATTAGACTGGAAAATATTCAAAAGAGTATAAGCAGTTTGTGTCATTTCCACGGTAACCCAGAGGAAGGCCAGGGTGTCTCAGGAGCCTTTTGTCTTCCTGATCAGCTCTTCCATGGTGTCCCACTGCTCCTTGGTGACCTGACACAAGAAAAGAAAGGGCAGTTTAATGTGGTCCTCGCATGTTAGAGCTCAGCATCCCAGCTGCTAATAGCATATTATATTCACAAAATGGCATTACCTTCTGCAGGCTGTTGAATTCTCCTGAGATAAATACTTCCTCCCCACCATCAAATCTAATGACCTGAAAATAAAAAATAAAAACTCTGAAACCAACTCCTTTCTCAAGTTTCTGAATCATTAGCCACTTTCTCATCCTTAGGTCTCTCAATCAAATGCCAAATTTTAAAGACAGACTTGATTAAACCTAAATTGATTTATTTTCTTTAGAATTTTCTTTCCACCATCTCTACAATTTCAAATTGTACCCAATATTAAAGGCACGTCTACCAGAGTAATTTTTATTTAATAAAATGAATTTATCAATAAATTGATTCCATAGGCTAAGCAATGTATAATAATACTTGATATTATTTAAAGCTAAGTAACGATTTCGGCCACATTCGTATTCAGGATCATTAGGATTGGTTCCACAATGTGCCTCCCTCCGCCTCCCCTTCCCAACATGAGGAGGCCTCAGTGCTTACAGCCCCATTGATCCAGGAAGCGTAGTCGCTGCATAGGAAGGCGGCAAGGTTGGCCAGCTCCTCCACGGTCCCCAGCCGGCCGCAGGGGATCCTGTTCACCATCTCCTTCTCAAACGCTCCGGTCGGGTCCAGGCGGCTGAAGGCACCCTTGGCGATAAAGGAAATCATCAGAATGCATTTTTTTAATTGCCACGCCTTTCCCACGGAAGGAACAAATTGGCAAGAAGTGGCATGTTACTAGGGCTACCTGTTCATGCCTTAGGCTTTATAACAACAGATAATTTTGCCAAATTCTTCCACAATAACTTTAGTTCAAAAGAGATCATTTTGTCTCATATTGACCTAAAAAAATCACCTGAGAGTGTAGCCTTTTTAACCTGTTTCCTCAGCTGTAAAATCAGGACGCCTGTCTCGGCTGCCTCACACCATCACCGAGC